TACAATGTCTGTAAAAAAATAAAACACTTGTAGCATCAGATAAAATAGTGGAATGCTATAAATGACAGTGAATTTTAGTACATTGAAAACTGTTTATTATTATCCTATAAGAACTACTCCTCGATTTATTTCTATGCGACAAGCTTCAATTTGAAAAAAGAACAATAAACAGTCTACTTGCAACTCATATTTTGTGGACTTACATTTTTTAATAAGAATAAGAACCTACTTCAAATAGAAACCTTTTCAAACCTTTCAAACCTTTCAAATATACACCTTTTCAGTCGAAACTTCAAGATGTATAGTAAAACAAACACCATCAATAGATATTGTTTTATTTTCCCTTCAATACTAATAAGCTGCATCTTTCAATATGTTTACTCATCTAAAAAAAAATCAAGTTATAATTAAAAAGTATTCTGCTCATAGAGCACTTAAAGGCTAAAAAGAGAATAATGAAAAATGGGTTAAACAAGCAACAAACAAATTGATTTTTATGCTCATTTAATCGACAACTGTGTAAGTATGCGTGACATTGTAGTGGAAATCATGATCAGTTATATTGTGAACTTAACGTCGGTCCATCCTGCAGACATAATGCATAAGATACGGCCAACTAACGAACTATTTAACGACGACAATGAAATTAAATTAAAATGATGGTCTCGATAGGTAGTACACTCTTTTTACACATTACTGTCGTAGTATTTAAGTGTGGAAGATCGAAAAAAAGAGACACCGATTCTACATATCTTGTTTAACGTGTGTTCTGGATTTGTGTTTCACTTGCGTATGTGTCGACATATTCCTACCCATGGGAGATAGATGATAGTGAGCGAGAGAAAAACAGTGTTTTCACATCAAACACTTGGCAGGCGTGAAATTCTCGGAATTCGATGTATTGACAGGTGAAATAACACTGCGCGAAATGAAAAAAAGAAAGAAAGACACATAATAGTGTGAGTGAGTGAGACAATTTGCCATCAGTATGTCCCCAAAATTGGTTCTCTATATACAGCATGTGAGAGATTGTTCATATGATCGATTGCCGAATAAATTTAGTTCCTCATTATAAATCAAGATCGCGATTTTAATTAGACATGAAAGAAGAATTTAACCGAGCATATTTCATCACGTGGATTTCAACTTATCAAAAAATATATTTAAATAATAATTTGTCATTCTTCATCAAATTTATGTCCTCACTAACATTTCACACAGAAAAACATTCTCCTGTTAATGTGAAGTTTCATTCACTTATTCACTTTTTGAATTTAATTTTTGGTAGGCAGCAAACTTGTTATTAGAATTTTATTGGTGTTCAAACATATTTGAAAAAATTTCTGTTCAAATATTTTTTTCCTTAAAAAAGAAATTATTATTAACAATGACATGCAAACGATTTATACTTTAAAACCACAAAAAATCTTTAAAAATTAAATTAAATTAAAAACTGGTTTGTTAGGAGCCAATATTTGATTGATCTTCGTACAATTAAAAATGTTTTTCTGTTTCAATGTAATTTAAATTGAAAGAAGTTTGATATAAGTGTTTTTGATTAATAACTCCTTGGCAATTAAGAAAGCAATTATTGCTTAATTCAAATATTAAATAGTCACTTAAAATGCTCAAAAACTTTTCTCTTAGATTATTCAGCTCATTTATTGATAACACCAATGCTTACCTTATCATTTTATTAACAGAACGACTTATTGAATAGAAATGATTTGAATGTTTTATCAATCTTTTGATGCTGAGGACCTTCGGAGTTTAGATAAATTCTCTGCAATTTCGACCAGAGCAACGACTTTTCATGATATTATCTCTGAATCCCGAAACACGATAAACAACATCAGAATGTCCACAGCCCTCCTTCCATGGACTCACAAGACAACCCGTGGCTGCAACACGTCACATAAACATCCCTCTTTATTACCATCCCTCGTATTTCCAATCCGCTTTTATAATTTCCGTTTAAAATTTTTTTACTCATCTTCCAACTGTTTCAAAGCACCTTTTTCCTCTTCATTTTTTTTTTAATCATAAATATAAATATACTTTTAAATATCTTTTTATTGCTATTAAGAATTTCCTTATTTGATTATTCCTTCGAATTACATTGTGATAAAAAAAATTTTTTAATTCTGTTCTACAACGGCTATTTTTGATCGTTTTATTCTATGCACCTGCTAAGAGTTTTTTTTCTTACTGATCATCTAACTTAGTTGATTCAGTGTTATTTTTAGTTTCTTCTGTTTAGCGAATAGAGAAACAAGAAATATAAATTAATAGATATTTTCAGAATTACTGGCCGTCGCCTCGAGAGCTTTCCCAGTAACTCTTTATTGTGATCGATGCATCTTTTTTATGTACTTCAAAGACTTGAAATATCCAACTGAAACTTTATAAAAATTTCTAAAACTTTAGAAAGATTTTTTAATCAACGTAAGTTAGTATTCTTTTCTTGTCAATTTATTTTTTCTTATTACTTCTTACATTAAAACTGTAAAAAGTAAAGCACAAAAAAAATAACGAAAAAATAAAAAATTCTTCAAATTTTTAACTTACATTGATATGAAAACGAATTTAATAAGAGTAACAGTATAATAATTAGAAAAATTATTTTTAAACAAAAAATATCATGTGATTTCCTATCGTGACATATCAACCGTAATCTAAACAAATTTACAATGCGATGAGTTTATCAACATTATCAGATTTTAATTTTATTTATTCAATTTGATTATTTCACATAAAACTATTCACTAGAAGATACATAAATTCGTTACGTTAGCGTTTTTAAAATGATAAGAAACAGAGTATAATGAATATCACTGACTTCATACAAAGTATTTATTACAGATGAAAAGTGTTTATTGAAGGACGCTGGCTTCAAGTAAGTATCAAATAATTATTGCTGATCGTTTATCAGTAATTTGTGGTCTAATTATCAGCTAATTGGCGAAGTTTAACATAATATACATTTTATTTGTTGCAACAAAACGATGTATTATCGATATTTCATATTTACGACGTTACCCAAACATATAAAACCACTCGGACTGTTTTTTGGCTTAATGATCTTTCTTTTCGTCTTACTACACCTAATAACGTTAGGCCTACACGTTGTTTGCCTGGTTCACGATGAGATTATACTCATGGATTAAAATATAGAAACGTACGCCTTTCGAAATAAAGAGCACGAGTTACTAAATCAACTGATGAATCTGCACGGTATAACAGTTAAGTTTCAGTTGGCAGGAATTAATACTCCGCCTTCGGTCTAACCTGATTGAGAACTCGCGAATACGTGAAGTCCGCCTTCGTTAGTCTTAATGTCGCTCTTCTCATCATTATACTAAAATTGGTCAAGTTCTTGGAACTACGATACTTTTTAAACTAAATTCTATCTCGTTTCTCTTTTACATATGTACATTCATGTATATATATGAATGTATACGTAGGTATCTTTGTAACTCATTGGCTTAATATTCTATAGGCAAATAATTGACGACCGAAGTCTTTTGACGTGAGGTCAGAATTCTATTATGACTCTCAAATATTATATTAACGGTCATAAAATTTTTTCATCACAAAAAAGTAGCTTTGAATTCCTTACGTTATTAAAAATTTCACTCGTTTGTTTATTTCATTTTTTTGAAATAAATCTTCATTTTTGGTGTTACAAAGTAGATAAATATTTATTGAAATGGTTGAAAAAAAATAACTGCGTTAATAATTTTTCATTATTACTGTTGATATACTTTTTTTCATGTAGATATATTTGTTATAAATTAAAATGGTTGTACAATAAATCAAAATATTAGATTGTCAGATACGTGTCTTTATATATGTTTAAATTTGAATGCATCGATCAACTCATACCAAACATTTGATTGTTATCCAAGTTTGGAGATTGTTGCAACAGGTTGTCAAAGTCTTACATAAAATAAATTAAACGGTATTATATTTACTCTAAATTTTTTTCCATTTTCAACAAATACAAATAAAAATTTATCATCTAGTAAAATATGTAGATACAATTTAACAAAAATATAAAAAATTAATTTATCAAAAAGTTAAATATATTGAAAAAAAAAATTGATTTCTATTTGTAAATAGAATATAAATAAAACATATGATTAATCCATAAACACAAGAATACACAATAATATATTTTATAATGTTAACTTGATTGATGAAAAATGATTAAGGATTTTACAAACACTATAAACTTCTATAAATTAACAAATTGAGTTTCAATGGAATGATTTAATTTAACATTAGAATTAAAAAAAAATACAAAATTTTTTCTTTGAAACCATTCAGTTTATCAAGTTAATTTAAAAAAAAAAAGAAAAAAAATATTGATCGAGTAAAATAAACTTTATTCCAGAAGGTAAATGATATTTTAAAATTGGATGACATTCTTGTTTCCTTAATACATATTCCATTAATATAGGAATTATTTTTTTGTATTAGACAAAATGCATTGATATAAACTATTTATACCATTTTTTGTATCTTAAGTAATCCAAGTGTGTCAAATAAATCTGTTCTTCTAGTTTATTTTTAACAAATGATCAGAAAAAAGTGTTTTTTTATTATTATCAAATTATTAAAAATCTCTATTTTATAGAGATAGAACGGAAATAACATGAATAGAGTCTGAATAAAACATCAAAAGAAGTCCTGCAACTCGTGGTTACGCAAAGAAATTGAGTCTGAAATTGAGAGGGAGGCCGCATGAATTGATGATAAATGATAGATTCTATCGACTGGTTGGCCCTAGACCTGGAGACCCAGCAACCCACTGGTATGAAAGAAAGAGCACATCATTGAGAGAAACGAATAGTGGGCCTTGTCTTGTCTCACCAGCGCATATTAATGGACAAACATATAATCCCCGTATCGCAGCGGGTACCATAGTATGCCAGCTGAATTTTTCTACCTTCCTCTTACCTCATTTCAAGTCTCTTAGCAGTTGTTCACTCGTCTCCGACAGGCAATGTTCCTTTTCTCATTTAAAACTTATATTCATTTTCAGAAAAATCGTTTAAAAAAAATTTTCTAATCTATAAAATAAAAACTTGGTACCAATACTCCTAGTAGATGGTGAAAGTGGTATAGACAGTGAATGGAGTTGATCGATAAACAATGTGAAGTGAAACTAAGTGTAAATAAAATTGAATCACATTATTGATATTAATTCTATAATTATTTATGAAACTAAAACTATAACAATAATTCTTAGAGTAAAAAAATCTCAAACATATCAATTCTTTCCTGGAGTAATCCAAAAGAAGGATATAAATCTTTCATTATCAGTCATATAAGTGTCACAATCGCATGTCGCATTATGCTTCGCCTGGAGCAGATTAGTTAATTGACCTCAATTCGTCATCAATATGTAATCAAACCGCCCCGATTAATTTGACACGGAAGACGGGAATTGTCACTATTTATAGTATCCCCTCTATTTAGATAAATAATAAATATCACAATCTCACATTTCTTAACTCGTCAATTAATCATTGAGATTCAATTACTAGCTATCTTTAATTTATTTTCAATCATATATTTATTTCATCTTCCCTCGGACATTTCAAATGAAACCTTTTATCTCCCGTCTGACCCACGCGTCTGTATCCACTTATGCTTGGGTTTTTTCTGAATCTCGTGAGCTTTTCAAACTGAACTTTGGGTCCTATTAAGAGTAAACTAAGGTGAATGGCAAGTGGCGTTTGATTACGAGCTCACTATCAACTGCAATAAAGTCTCAGGAAGGCGGCGTTAATGCCGCCTCTTGGGTCCGCCCCGGCCTCCTGTCCATAAACCCTCCTCCTCAACATTACCAACAAACATATACACTTCGTTCGTCTTCACCGATCGCTACCATAGTCGTGAGTGCTGGTAGTCAACGTGCTACTACGACTGAAGAGCCAACACACGTTGTTGTACCACCACCAAGCCGTCAAATAGAGAGAGAGATACACTCGAGTCCACCTTAACATGTTTCCTTCAAATCAGTATAGAAAGAAAAGGAAAGAAGTAACGCATATCTGCGTGCGTGCATGCTTCATTTAATGGTACCAGTTAATGACTATTGGCCAGAAGACTTGGGCGGGACTATACGTTCAGCCGGTTTACTAACACATACTCATATATGTGAATATATCTTTCACATATGTTAACGCATTACTTGGGCCTCATAATCTTCTTCTCTTTATACTCCTTGCATTCCCTTGAGCTAAAATTACTGATTAAATTTTTTTTAGCCATTCATGGAAATAAGCTTGATGATGAATTTGAAAATAGACACCCTAAGATCATTGAGTAATTATGGATATTGGACTATCGATCCTGGTCTGAAGGTAGAATACAATTAGATACAATACTATTACTAGATTTCAATAGAGAAAAATTATATTTAATTGAAACTGATTATTATTCATAGAAGTTGCTTCGTTGCCTGAAGAGGAAATAGCTTACCTGTTACGTAATTAATTTCATTGCGAATGGTGATATTTTCAAGTTCAGAGTACAGTTACGTGTAGATTAGATTGAATGCAGTGAATAATTAACGATAACAAAAGCTTATTACTAAGTAAGTATACTGTAATCATAGATAGGTATTTAAAATAGAATAACTCTCTAAAATTAGTTTTTTTTTTTTATGTAATAACTCGACAAATAAATTTCTTTACTCAAAGAAAAAGAAAATCGTGATGAAAGTTATCTTGACTTGATTTCAGTAATAAATCATAAATAATACTTTTATACATTTTAATAACAGTTTATTATCTTGTTACATTAAGTTTCTTTAACTCGGTGTAAACTAAAAGTTCATTATGAAATTGTTATACTTTTTTCCTATCATTTGTACAATTGCAGATATACTCTAACATTTTTTTTCTGATTCACAATATTTTTTGTTATTTTGGGCAATTATGCTATTTTTCTTTGGAAAATGTTCCCTGATACACAAGAATTGATGTTAAATTTAACTCTAATCTATCAGGGTTTTTCCCAATATTTTTCATCTAAATAGAAAATAAATGGTATCAAATATAAATCACTTATCAAAATTGTAAAAAAATTCTACATCACATTTTCCGTTCTGTAATTTAATCTGAATATCATACACATTATAAAGAGCTAAAGGTTATCAGATACTTGTAATGTGTAAAAACGACCAGTCGAATTTTTAACTGTTAAACAAATTTTAATTCAGAATATTTTTCGAATCCTTGTCATGTACTTTTTATCAAGATCGTCACTAATTTATGTGTAATTACAAACATTAGTCCAGTGATTTCTTCATCGTTTTTTATAATAAAACTTTTTCCATTTGTACAATTTATAATTTTATATGTGTAGTAAAAGCAATCGAAAGACCTTACAAAACTATAAGTAGACGACTAAATTTGTAAATAAAAAACAAAAAGGAAGTCAACTGTTTCTTGTTTTTACAAGTTTACATATAACATTCATTCAACTTGAAAAAATAATAAATTGAAATTAAAAATTTTCTCGACTTGATTTGATACTACTCACACAAAAGCTTTTTAAAAATATTATTAATGTTTATAAACATTAGTAATATGGATAGTTATAACTATTCATAAGGCTTCTATAAATAGAATTCTTAATATAAAATAGAAAAATGATAATTTCCGTACGGAAGTGGACAACAAAACTATTCATTTCATTTTGTCGGCATATTTTAGCATTATTAAAACAATTTATCATTTTAAAGTAAAACAATTTCTGTTCATAATCGAAGAAATCCTATTTCAACCTCAATGCTTGATAAGCTTCATAGTAGTAGTAATTATAAATGGTCATGATTATTTTAACCATTAAACTGAAACCTAAAACTACCATTTTGTCCCACACAATGTCACTAAATATATTTTTTTTCTTTTTGAAGCTTGGAAATGTTTCGCAGCTCCTGATTTCACCTTCTTGGGGAACGCGCGACGGGAATTTGCATAGAATGGCTGCACAACCGCATTAGGACGGTGTGTCTGTACTCGAAGACCTTCCTTGTAAGTCAGTTAATGCAGAGCAGACACCAAGCAGACGCTGAAAACATCCATCACTGCATAGTGGGCCCTATCTTGCGACGCGGATCGCGGCCCCATAATTACACTCTCGCCAGCTCGCCTATTTTTTTATTTCTCTCTTCCTCCCTGTATCGTTCCACCCTTTCGATGTCTTTGAATCTTAAAAGACGAAGAATCGATCGATGTGATAAAGACTGTCACTATCTCTGGCATTTATTACACCTTACATTCCTATATATTCCTTCCAGTCAATTTCCAAAACTGATGAGTCGATAGAATTGCAAATGATGAACTCAGTTAAATCTTTTAAACTGATAAATAACAAATAATTATTGTAACACAAATTGATCCTTGTTAATAATTCAAACGTTCCGATAGTTTGTATTCAATAATTATTATTTGTGTTGCAAATAAACTCATGCAACAGTTAGAAGAGGTTGTTAAGAGTTCATTAAGGTCACTGAGTTGAAGTGAAATATCCTCTAGCCATTCTATGATCGATTATGAATCGATTAGGTCACTATTGTTGACCTTCTGCCATTATCCATCATTCCTGTTACAATCAGCAATCTTTCCATTTGCATCATTAATGTCCATTCGATGGAAGAAGAAATTTTAGAAATAATTTCTTTGTATGGCACTTGATGTTACTAATAATACCATTAAATGATATCAATTGAAGATATTAATTGTGATGCTTCAAAATGACTTTGAAAATTTATAATAAACTATAATTTAGTTATTATCATAGTTTTTAGGATGATTTTCCTTACAGCTCATGATTTCTCCTAAATTTATTCATGCTGTTGAAATGATTATACTTAAAATTTTTTAGTGTGAGTTGAGTTCCTTCTTTATTGTTAATATTGAATGGTAAATTGATACATGCTAAAACATTTAACAATTTTATTTCTCTCAGTGAATTTTTATTTTTTATTTTCATGGTCTTTGAACTTCGAAACTAGTAACGTCTGATTAAAAATCTAAAAAAAAAACTTGTTCTAATCATTTATTTGAATTCAGTAATTGCTCGTTTATAGCATTTTTTTGTCGAAAATATAGTCTAAAGTTGGCGTGAGCGGCAGCTATTGACAGGCAGAACCATCGTAGATATAACTACTCGAAACGAAGGGGTAACATTTTTATATTTGCAAGAATATTTATTGCTACAGGGTAAATTACCATAAACAACGCCCTACGAAGAAACTCAAAGATTACTGTATTTAAAAAGCGTAAGAGGGAGAATAATTACTGACGCTACAGCTACCAGAACTCTATAAGTTGGTGTAAGTACGATATTCTCAACAACACGAAGGTTGAATGCATTTTCTGCAGTGTGTGCGGCGGAAGAGCCGTTATAAAAGAGAGAAACCTTCTAGAAGACGTTATGAGAAAATTGAGACTTCATGAGGGTCAAACATAAAATCTCGTAAATTTATCAAAATTCTACTGTAATATTTACTACAGAATTTCGTTTTTAATCAATTTATTGTAATTTGAGTTCGTTTATAAATTTTAGTAGATTTGATAGAATTCATAATACAATGATATAATTGATATGGTTTTTCGGTATTTAAAAATTTGTGAACATTAATACACATCTAGTGAGTACTTAAGAAACATAATAAACTCCTTCGAATTACATCCTAATACCCTAATGAGTTGGGTCGTCATAAAAACTTGAAATATGGCTTTTCGTCCACTTTAGTTATACTGTCTTTGATTTGATGATGATGAACTTCTATGACCACTATCGCCTTTTATATTCATTTTCTCGGCTCGTAAAATAAAATTTAATCGTTATTTTATATTCATCTAACATTTTATTACTCAAAACACAAATTGTTATAATAATAATTTTGTAAATAAATAACATTTTTTCTTTATTTAAATTATTTTAAATTCAGCAAAATCTACATGAAAAAAATTAATAGGATATTGGTCCATTAATACTTAACGAATTTCATCCTCGGATATCTATATCTCCGGTATATTTTAATTCAAAAAACAACAAGATAGAACATGTTTGCCATTGCAGATAAGAAAACTCAATATGTCATTAATAATTTCAAGAGCCGTTTTAAGATACTATTTGCCACATTCTTATTTTACAGAGTTAATTGTTTATTTTTCATTTCAAGTAGTGAATAACATTATTCAATAAACCAAAGTATCTATTTTTCCAGTATCTTGATTTTGTCTTCATTTCCCATTAATCAATAGGCTCTGAGTTGTTATAATTTTCAAAACACTATCAACTAATTAAAAACATCAATCTATTATTACATTATTATAGTGTAAATACAAAAAAATCAATAAATGTACTAAAAAAATACACTTTCCATAAAACTATCTGTAACATGACATAAACAATGTTCGATATCCGCAGTTTTCATGAAATCTTTGATTATTATTTAATCGAATGTGCTTCTCTTTTAATTATCCATAAGTTATTTACACAAACGATATGAGTCTGGATGGAAAACAAAATATACGTATAAATTGAATAGCTAAATTGAAAATAGAAAACACGAACAAGTGAAATTTTTTAAGTAGCATTCTCCATTTTCCATTAGTATGCTATTGTACAGCAAATTGGTCGTAGCGAAATTTAATTAAAAAAGACAATGGTTGCTGTTGAGCACGATTATTCACGGGTTTATATGTATAGCACACCAGAGAGTCGACGACAGCCGGTATATAGTATGCACGCGCATACTTAAAAACCTACAGCAGTGCATTTTGTTTTCTGTATCTATATGTATTTGAATCATACACATGCACAAGTAAATTACGCATTGGTGATAGTTTCACAGATGTGTATAAAGTAATGTTACGAGCAAAGTAAACATGAGCTGTATCACACAACTAAAACGAATCGTTCTAAAATTATGAATAGCTTCGCTGTAGATCAAGCTTAACTGAATAAATTATTCTAACTGGGTTCTTTATAAAATTATGATGAAAATTGTCATTGTTGAATTATACAATAAGCCTTGTATAAATAAGTCGTTTTGAAATATAGCAATATGATTAACGAATCTTCAAATAAAATAAAAAATTTTAAACAATAATTGTTAATTGTTGATCATTTTTTAATCCTAATTGTTAACAAGCATAAAGATGAATACAGTTATTGACATTCCAGGCTGAGATAATATATCCATTTACTTTAATTTAAAGATGCCACTGATTTTATTTAATGATATTCATTTTATATTGATACACATCTTTTCTTTAGATTCGAGGGTTCAACACTGTCAATCCGAGTGCATTCTTGTTACACATTTAAATGTGTTAAATATAAAATCACCCATTTGATTAACATTTTATTCACTTTCAATGCGTTTCTAAGTGTGTAAAAAGTGACTACAATGTTAATTAAATGGGTGACTTCATATTTAACACATTTAAATGTGTAACAAGAATGCACTTGCATTCACAGTGTTAGAATAAAATAAATTCCACTGTTTAGCAACTAAACACTCAGAGTGTTCACAACGTTACACATTACAAACAAACTATAGAAATTTGTAGACGACTTTTAAACGTTTCTTCCCGTTTACCAAAGTGCTATAGTTTGATTATGGTGTTCACCATTGTAAGCACTTAAGTGTTTTATTATTAAACACTTCAAGTAATTTATTAATGAATACTTGAATTTTTCCGGATATGCAATGTCAATAAATCGCTATATGAGCAAACAAGGCTGGGAAATATTTTGTAGATAATTACCAAATATTTCTACATAAATACAAATTCATTCAATATTTAATATTTTCTTTCGAATGTATATTTTTTTATTTCTTTCGGTTTAAGAATATACCAAGGTTATAATCACAAATGAAAAAAAAATTCCAGTATAAAGACACGATATTTTTGGTTCATAAAGAAACCAATATTTTTAATTATTATTTATTTTTTAATCCATTTAAACATACAATCATCCATAAATTTTTATTAATATTTCTACTTGAATACTGTTATGGCCCGAATCTAAACACTGAAAATCTTAAATTCGAAAGCATTTTAATTTAAAACAATTGAAGTGTTTTAAAATCCCATCATCCATTTAATTAACATTGTAGTCACTTTTTAAATACTTCCGATTGAATTTTAAATTAAGACACTGCCATTTTCCGTGAACAAAGTGATGTATTATTATAGTTTAATAAAAAATATGATTACTGAAAATTAAGTCTAAATTCGTTTTTTTTTTTTTTATGTAATTGATATTTGTTTCAGCTTGTTTATATTTATTCATTGATTCTTAGAACTTTCATTATGATTGAATCCATGAATAAATTGATCTGAGATAAATAGCTATTCATTCATAACCTTTACTCGTTGCAGACCTATAAATATTATTATAATGTTTACAAATTGTCGAACATACAAGTTGAATCTGACCTTAATAAACTGGCAGTACAAAGTCTAGACTAATTAATACATGAATATAAATAAGTTTATACTATTACAATACACTTAACACATTTTTTCTATTGTAAAAAAATAAATTTAATATTTTCAATAAAAAATTTTTACATTTTTTATGTTACATGCATTTTCGAATAATTTATACCACATATGATTTTTATTCCTTAACAAATGATTTATTTACCCTTTAGCTATAATAAATTATTACAAATAATTATAAGTCGACTTTTCAGAATAGCACTGAAATTATTATTCCATTCCATCTGTTCACGTCAAAAAAGAAATAATATGCGTTCCTGAACCGTAATATAAGAAGTATCTGAATCATCCAGTGTCGACATTACGATTTGTATAACGGACGGATTTCGAATCCAGAGAAACGTTGTTCGAATAGAACGGACATTATACAGCATCCTGAGTGGGTAGAAGCTCAAGACTGGAATGTAATCATAGGATTCCCTTGTGATCCTTTGCAAGTCTGTTGGCCATGTTGAATTCTTAGTCGCCTCATCCTCTTTAGTTCATCCTATCTTCCTGACTTCGCCTTATGTATATTGTTCATTAAACGTTGACAGTGACGATGTGGTTGCAGGTACTTTAGAATTGTCAAGGCTCTATACCTCTTTTCACTATTCTCTCTACTTCTATTTCAAGTCGTGTCTCGAGTCTTAAGAATTAATGCATAGACACTTGGCGATTCTTATTAACTCATCTACTCTTGACGTCTATTCAACTCCAAATATTCAAAATCCGTATTATTGAATGATGAAAATGAATTTGCGTAATACATACTATCTTCTATCAGTTTCTTGTCAAATAATGATAGTGAGATTAAAAATTGAAAAATATATGAATAGAGTAAATGTCTGAACGATATTTACCTGTTTATTTATCATTCAAAGAACAATTAAAAGATTATTGTCAATTGTAGTTTTTAAATTTCTCTATTTTAACAGAGGAAATGTTCTTGACTGTTTCAAAAAATGAAGTTTTCTCCCTATTTTTAATAAAAAACATCTCATTTCTTATCTTTATATTCATGATGTAATAGTATAACGGAGTGCGTTCATTATTATTTTGTGATAAAAAAATGTCGTCAGTCCATCTCGGATCATGAAAGACTGAATTATCGTGGGAGCGCGAGAGAATTTAGCCGTGAAAGTGTAAACGAGTATGATAAAAAGCATACGGTCGTTCATCTTGAACTGGTGTTACGGTACAGCCTCCAAAAAGAAGGACTTCAAGGCACGTGCCTTGACTTCTGGGTATCGCAATATTTCCTAAGCCATTCTTGCACAAAAAAACATCAGAGAGATGTTGTAGGTAAAGAAAAGAAACCAGAAAGAGAACATGAGAGTAACATCACACAAGTAAAGGTGCAAAGTAATCGAGCGAATTAAAGTTAAATTGTGTGCCTAAGTAGAGAACATATTACTTCAGAGTATGGCAATTCATAACAACAACAAGATTAGCTTTAACCCCATCCAACTCTTATTGTTTACACTCAACTTCTTTTCCCACTCTAACCTTCAACCCTTATTCCATTCACCCTTATATCTTTACTTCAGTAGCCTTAGTATAGTTCTCTTTACGTCGTTCGCTACTCAGTAAAGAAACCCTTTGCAAGCCTAACGTTAATTAGTTTCGCCCGAGTTAATGACTTTTTCCCTCCTAATCAGGTAATTTCCTATCTCTTTAAAATAATCTCACCGCCCTACGGCTAATGAAATTCCGAACTCGTTACTTACAGTCACAGCGATGGCGGCAGTGATCTTCTCTTAAGTATTAAAAAAAATTCAACACTTTTCTGTTTTTTTTTTTTCAAAGCCGAAAGCACGTTTATTGTTTCATCTTGATCAATTTTACTGATGTATATAAAAATATAGTGTATGTATTGTAAAATATGTAAATACATGTGATAATGTTGATGTTCAACAGTCGAGGTTTTTGTTATTAGCAAAGCTCGACTGATTAGTTTACTTTAGTTTATAACTTAGACTACAGCTGACCAGATTGAATACTGTTATGGCCCGAATCTAAACACTGAAAATCTTAAATTCGAAAGCATTTTAATTTAAAACAATTGAAGTGTTTTAAAATCCCATCATTCATTTAATTAACATTGTAGTCACTTTTTAAATACTTCCGATTGAATTTTAAATTAAGACACTGCCATTTTCCGTTTTGGTTATTCTTTTGGTTATTCTAATTGTCTTGCCATATTTAATAAACGTTTAATCAGTTTCTTTTATCAATTTGGAGTTATTACTTTGTTAATTTGGATTATTTTACATTATTTTAATAATTAATTGTAATTTTTGAAGCAAGCCAACGTTCAGGGATCGTTAATACTTAAACGATTTAGAGTTAATTTTAATATGGCTAAGGGAATAGAAAGCTAGGAAAAAGTACATCACTGAAGTGCCGACTTGTACTGGGTAGATTAGATTAAGTGATTAACTATAAGTGGATAGGACATGCAAGCATTGTAGACAAGAAACAACTTCATAAAATTGCCAGTTGCTAAAAACTTAACCTCTTATTGACAACTGGTCAGTTCCGTACAACATCTACTCTACCTTGTTCCCGATTAGAACAGTAAAGAGCATCGAAGTGGTGGGAGTCATTCAGCTGATGAAACTGAATAACGCTAACAGGTAATAAAAGATACCTTTGCTTATTCTAGAGAACTTACAGAAGAACAAATGATATTGCATCTACAGTATTCAGAAGTCATTTTGCGTGAATATAATCGACAGGAGAGTCGCTTGGAACACACCGTTACGATTGACGAAACCTGGATGACTATGTGCCGACCACTAGAAAAAGATCAAAAGAAAGAATGGCACAAACCAGATGAAAAGCCAATGACTGTGGCACGACCGGCTAAGTATTCACCTAAACTATTGATACTAAACAAAAAAAAACCATTTACCACCAGAGACACCTTACTTTCTTTGAGCACTTGATAAAAAACTGGCATGGCAATCGCAAGCATGAAGTGTGGATACTCGATGACAATGCACATTCTCACAGAAATGCCGCAATAAGTAAGTGGTTAAAAGACAATAAACTTCATCGTTGGTACCAACCACCCTATTTTCTTGACCTAAGTCCATGTGACTATGGCTGCTTTCATTCTCCGAAAAGAACAATGGGTGGCATGGAGTACGAAGGCATCAACTCACTTAAAGAAGCATTAGATAAAGAAATGAAGACTGGAAACGCAAGTGGCAAAAATCGGGCAGTTGAGAAACTTCCCGAATGCTGGAAACAATGCATAGAACGTTTTTGTCAGATAACTTAATATCATCTAGTCACTGTCATCATTTACAGAGCCAGTACAGTGCTTTCTCTCTAAGACACACCTCTTTACGATCTCACTTTCCCTCAATTGTAGGAGAATTTAATCCCCTACTCAAGCGTATACAGAAAACTATTAATCATTCTGCATATATAGTTTGATTGTAGCAACAAATTCGTTAATTGTAATTATTAATCTCATTAAAAATAGCCCCCTCTTTCTGGGCTGTGCAAAAATGTGCGTCAAGCATAAATACGGACAATGATAAAATTACAAAAAATCCTAAAATCACCTAACGCCAATTATTTAAATCTAAGAATCAACAATATTTAAAATGAATTATTTTCTTCGGTTTTTTCTTTTTTTTTTTAAATTTAGTGCGTTTAATGGCACAAGAAACATAACAACCAAAAACTTGGTGTAACTGTTATTTATTAATTGGCTTAAATATTTTCAAAATTTCATGCTTTTATAAAATCTTCACGATTTTTGTACATATCAACAACAATTATTTTAATATTCGCACTCAAGAAAAATTTACTTGTTATCAACTTTACAATCCATTAGTAGGGGAACTTCATAGCAACTAAAAACTCTGATCACCAACTTGATAAAAAAACGTATGATCGCTCCATAAATAAACTTTCATTTTACTCAATTGTTACGCAACGAAATTTTCACAATATTGTATATTATGAATGAAGCAATGATGATACTTCATAGTATGCTTAATCGAAGGCCAACAATTGCTTCCCGTACAAATTCCTCATTTCAGCTCATGTTTATGTTGTAATAAGAACAATATTTTTATTTTAAAAATTATAACCTGTAAAAATCATCTTACAACTTGTATGGAGCCACGGCAGTGCCTCGTCGTGACGTAAGGGCAAGATGGCGGCGATATATGCTTTGCGCATGAGTCACTACCGTATCTATTGATAGTTTTATTAATTAAGCTGTGTAAATAATGTTGAAACGGACCAAAAATAATAATAATAATCGGAAGCAACCGACAGTAGTGCAATTTGGTGTAAAATTAAACGCTGTAAAGGAGTTAAATCAGGAGATACCGGCACATATCATTGCGAATAACCTCAATGTCACATCTTAAACTGCGAAAAAATGGGAATGAAAAGAACAAATATTCGAAAATTTACACAATTAATATAATGATAAGGGATTGATTTATTAAGTGAAGAGTTTTATATAAAGTAAGATTTTATTAGTTATAATGAAATAAAAAGAACTTGAATAAAGAAAGAAACTTTACTGCTCCTTTAGTCTATGACTACTGAGTTGTAAACACACACTCTAGAAGAAACCAGGGAGGCCAACAAAAGACAATTCATACTCCAAGGAAAGGAGCAGGCCCGAAAACATATATAAAAGAAATTACTAACGCGAAGACTGTATTTCGTCAACGCTCCCTCCGTCTAAGACGTTTGACATTTTGTTTAAACCTATTCTTTCACAAAATACAAAAAATTATATAAACAATACTTATATCTCCAATTTTTTATTTTTTCCTGAAGGAAATGATACCTTATTGCTATATGCTTGCTTCTCTTATGAAATCCAGCATTCTTTGACAATTTTATTGCACTCTGGTTATCAACAAACATCACACTTGGATCCTTACATCCATATTCTATGTCACATAGTAGTTGCCTGAACCAGATTACTTCTCTAGCAGCTGTTGACGCAGCAACATATTCTGCTCCAGCTAAGAGTTATGAGTCTTTGTCGCAGCAAGTTAGCAGTTCCTTTTAAGTATCTAATAATTCTCTTAACAGCTTTCTAATGTTCTCTAGTGTATGCATTCATTAACCTACTAACAGATTAAACTGCATACCCAGTGTCTGGACGTGTAATAGTGGATAGAAATAATAGAGAGCCTACTGCTTCCCTATACGGTATATTGACTTTTGGAATAGATGACCCTGATGGTTTTAGAATGACATTTGGATCTGCTGGAATTTCCACTGGATGAGCATCAGATTGACCAAACCTTTCAACTATTTTTAGGACATACGCATGTTAATGCAAAAATATTTGCTTGTTAACCCGATCTTTCTCAATCTGGATTCCTACATAAATCTTGGCATCACCAATAGTTACATCAAAATACTATTTTAGAGCATTTACAATGACATTTGGTACACGCATACTTTTTGCAACCATTAGCTGATGATCAACATACACCGTAAGATAAATTATTTTATTCTCCATCATACCAACAAAAATACATTCGTCTACATCACTCTGTTAGTTACACTAACAGTTACACTGCACTTGACCTTGATCATAGTTCACAAGAAAACCTTTTGGTACTTTCATGTATACCTCTTCACTGAGTTAACCATATAAAAAGGCAGTCTTCACATCAAACTGCACCAACTCTAGATCTTCTTCTGCTGCAATGGCCAATATTACTCTCGAAGAATCATATCTCACGACCGGTGAGAAAGTCTCAGTGTAATCACGCCCTTGTTTCCGTAGAAAACCACGTGTACATAGTCGAGCCTTAAAACGATGTATTTGTCCTGATGGTTTACGTAGAATTTAAAAAACCCATTTGGAGTCTATCGCTTCTTTGTTACTAGTATTTGGTACTAGTACTCGAGTCCTGTTTTTATTACGAGCGTCTAACTTCTCAGCAATTGCAATTTTCCACGGACTTGCATTTAGACCTGTCACTGCATCCTGATAAGTAGCAGGCTCGTTATATTCAACAATATTAGCACAATATCTCGAAGGTTGTTTGATTTTGCTTCTATCACGAAATTGTATGTTGCTTACTTCTGAAGAAGAGTGCTCGCCTTGTTCGAAACATAAGAAGTCTTCAGTTCTATCTTCAGATTTAACGCGAACATCATTTCCTGGCTCTTCAATCACTCTTTCACTTTCAGCAACATCATTGTTAACAAATACAGTATCGTGTTCCTCTTCATTTTCTATCATGATTTAATTTGAGTGACAATTGGAGAACTTCAGTGCTACGTTATTGTCACCTGAAACATCTTGACTGATTACCTGGTCACGATTACTTGGACATTTTTCGTTGAAAAACACGTTTCTGCTCTCAACAACTTTCCGATCCTGTTGATCATAGAGCCGATAGTTAGTTGAATCATCTTGATAACCCACTAGAATTAACTTCTTGGCTTTTTTATCAAATTTTGTCTTTTGGTGTTATACTATATTCATATATGCTGCAGATCCAAAAACTTTTATGTGTAGAACACATGGTTTTCTTCCATTTCACACTTAATAAGGAGTTTTTTCCGGATTTCTACTTGATAGGGTCCGATTCAGAGCATGCACTGCTGTGTTTACAGCCTCGGCCCATAAATACTTAAGTAGCTCAGCACCGTACAGCATAGATCTGGCGTTTTCAACAAATGTTCTATTTTCTCTCTTAGCTTTGCCGTTTTGTTGAGGGGTATTTGAAGCTGTATGTTCAAGTTGAATACTTCGCTTGACTAGGTATTTCTTCATATTTTTGTTAATGTACTCCCCCCATTGTCAACTCTCGACGTCTTTGTGACTCGACCAAATTTATTTGCAACAAAACGTTCAAATTCTATGAATTTTTCATATACATCTGACTTGTGTTCCGGAAAATAGACTTTTCGAAACCCTGATGAATCATCTATGAAAGTTACAAAAAAACGTGCTCCACCAATTGAAGTTTCAGATATTGGACCGCATACATCAGAATAAAAAAACTCTCCTGGTTTTGTCTCTCTTCTTTCTTTTGTTTTGGTATATGGCTTACTGTGCGACTTTCCAAACTCACAAGCTCCACAAAAGAAATTGTCATTTTGAGATTTAATGTGTTGGATTAAATCATTTTCAGGCATCTTTTTAATTGTACGCTGATTAACATGACCAAGTCTTTCATGACATACTTTAACATCAATTTCAGACATGTTTACTACTAATGCTACTGAAGGTTGGATGAACATACGATAAATGTCATTTTCTTGTTTTACACCTCGAGCAACAATCATATTTCGATTAAAAATAGTCACACTTTGCTTCTTGAATCTGAGCTCAAAGTTTTTAGCATCACAGACTCCGACAGAAAATAGAATTTTCTTCGATGACGGCACATATAACACTTCTTCAATACGACCAGTTTCCCAAACACCATTAACTAGTCTTTTAATTAATACAGTTCCAACTCCTTTTATTTCCAGGCTTCCACTATCTCCAAGATGAGCTGTTTCTCCTTGAATTGGTCTAAAATTGGTAGCCGCTAATAATCTACTTGACTTTGTGTGTAGGTAAACCAATCTCTTCTTTATCAACCGGAGACTCTTTTTTACTTTCATATATGTCTGCAACAAAAGCACACGTATCGAAACTCCTTGACGGTTTTCCCTTATCTGTCCCGGACTTTTTTTTGTTAGGACAATTTAGATTAATGTGTCCCTTTTCTTTGTATTCATAACATTTACATTTTCCAAACTTTGCTTACTTCTCTTCTTTTCCTCGAACGTACCTTTGTTCTCAATTTTCTTACGTTCTATCATCATTGCTGCCAGCGCGTTCGTGGCTTCATCACTTTGGGTCAATCGAGCCTCTTTCTTCAACAATCGCTCCTGTAGCAACTAGACACTTTGTCTATCTACTGGAACACTATCCCATGCAGTTAACACGTGTTGAATTTATTTAGAAGACTTCCGAGAATTTTAGCCATCAGCGATGCATCTGATACATTCTCACCGACATTTTTGAGTTGATCCACCATGTTCTGCAGCTTGGCGACGTGCTGATTTACCGACTCAGTTAGATTCATTCTGTAGTCATAGTATTTTTGGAGTAGAATTATCTTGGTCGATTCAGACGTTTGTTCGTTTTCTGCAACAAGCTTGTCCCATATCTCCTTAGATGAAGTGCACGTTATCAAATATTCTAGCTGTTCTGAAACTAATGTCGTTGAAATGTAGTACATTGCTTTTGCATCATCTTTAATCCATTTTTCTCTGATAGGTCCT